TGATGCGTTGGATCTGGAGGTTGGTGGGGTGGTACGTGCGGACGAGAGGGATTCTGTTTTGGTTGTTATTGCGGGGAGGGGGTGTGAGGGATGAGCTGTGGGAAATGCGGGAGACACGGTCGAGGGCGTTCTCGACCACTGAGGGGGTGAAGTTGCGGTCCTTGAAAAACAAGGACAACTGAGATGAACGGGAGTGGAATGCCTCATCCTGGGAGCAGATGCGGCGGAGGCGAAGGAGTTGGGAATAGGGGATGGCATTTTTGCAGGAAGGTGGGTGGGAGGAGGTGTATTCGAGGTAGCGATGGGAGTCGGTGGGCTTGAAATGAATATCGGTTTCTAGGTGGTTGCTGGAGATGGAGACAGAGAGGTCCAGGAAGGAGACAGGGGTATTAGGGATGGTCCAGGTGAACTTAAGGTTGGGGCGGAAGGTGTTGGTGAAGTGGATGAACTGGTCGAGTTCCTCGTGGAAGCACGAGGCGGCGCCGATACAGTCAATAATGTAACGGAGGAAGAGGTGGGGTTTAGGGCCAGTGTAGGTACGGAAGAGGGATTGTTCCACGTAACCTACAAAGAGGCAGGCATAGCTTGGGCCCATGCGGGTACCCATGGCCACCCCCTTTGTCTGTAGGAAGTGGGAGGAATTGAAAGAGAAGTTGTTGAGGGTGAGGACAAGTTCGGCTAAGCGGATGGGGGTGTCAGTGGAGGGGGGACTGGTCAGGCCTGCGGGACAGGAAGAAGTGGAGGGCTTTTAGGCCATCTGTATGGGGAATGCAGATGTATAGGGACCGGACGTCCTTGGTAAAGATGAGGTGTTGGGGACCGGGGAATTGGAAGTCCTGGAGGTGGAGGAGGGCGTGGGTGGTGTCACGGACGTAGGTAGGGAGTTCCTGAACCAAGGGGGAGAAGATGGAGTCCAGATAGGTGGAGGTAAGTTTGGTGGGGCAGGAGCAGGCGGAGACAATGGGTCGACCAGGGCAGTCAGGTTTGTGGATTTTGGGAAGGAGATAGAAGCAGGCGGTGCGGGGTCGGGGAACCATGAGGTTTGGAGGCTGTGGGTGGGAGGTCACCTGAGGTAATGAGGTTGTGGATGGTTTGGGAGATAATGGTTTGGTGGTCAGTGTCATGATCAAGGGGGCAGTAGGAGGTGGTGTCCGAGAGTTGGCGCCTGGCCTCGGCGATGTAGAGGTCAGTGCGCCATACTACAACTGCGCCTCCCTTGTCCGCGGGTTTTATGGTGAGGTTGGGATTGGAGTGTACCTCTTCCGTACCTACACTGGCCCTAAACCCCACCTCTTCCTCCGTTACATTGATGACTGTATCGGTGCCACCTCGTGCTCCCACGAGGAGCTCAAACAGTTCATCCACTTCACCAACACCTTGCACCCCAACCTTAAGTTCACCTGGACCATCCCTAAAACCCTGTCTCCTTCCTGGACCTCTCTGTCTCCATCTCCAGCAACCACCTAGAAACTGATATCCATTTCAAGCCCACCGACTCCCATAGCTACCTAGAATACACCTCCTTCCACACACCTTCCTGCAAAAATGCCATCCCCTATTCCCAACTCCTTCGCCTCCGCCGCATCTGCTCCCAGGATGAGGCATTCCACTCCCGTTCATTTCAGATGTCCTCGTTTTTCAAGGAACGCAACTTCCCCCCCTCAGTGGTCAAGAACGCCCTCAACCGCGTCTCCCGCATTTCCCGCAACTCATCCCTCACACCCCCTCCCCGCAACAACAACCAAAACAGAATCCCCCTCGTCCTCACGTACCACCCCACCAACCTCCTGATCCAACGCATCATCCTCCGACACTTCCGCCAGCTGCAATCCGACCCCACCACCAAAGACATTTTTCCCTGCCCACCCTTATCTGCTTTCCGGAGGGACCACTCTCTCTGTGACTCCCTTGTCCGCTCCACACTCCCCTCCAGCCCCTCCACACCCGGCAGTTTTCCCTCCAACTGCAGGAAGTGTTACACCTGCCCCTACACCTCCCCCCTCACCCCCTTCCCAGGCCCCAAGAAGACTTTCCACATCAAGCAGATGTTCACCTGCACATCTGCTAATGTGGTATACTGCATCCGCTGTTGTGGCCTCCTCTACATCGGGGAAACCAAGCGGAGGCTTGGGGACCGCTTTGCAGAACACCTACGCTCGGTTCGCAATAAACAACTGCACCTCCCAGTCGCGAACCATTTCAGCTTCCCCTCCCATTCCTCAGACAACATGTCCATCCTGGGCCTCCTGCAGTGCCACAACGATGCTACCCGAAGGATGCAGGAACAGCAACTCATATTCTGCTTGAGATCCCTGCAGCCCAATGGTATCAATGTGAACTTCACAAGCTTCAAAATCTCCCCTCTCCCTACCGCATCCCAAAACCAGCCCAGCTCGTCCCCGCCTCCCTAACCTGTCCTTCCTCCCACCTATCCCCTCCTCCCACCTCAAGCCCCACCCCCATCTCCTACCTACTAACCTCATTCCGCCCCCTTGACCTGTCCGTCCTCCCTGGACTGACGTATCTCCTCCCTACCTCCCCACCTACACTCACCTTTACTGGCTCCATCCCTGCCTCTTTGACCTGTCTGTCTCCTCTCCACCTATCTTCTCCTCTATCCATCTTCTATCCGCCTCCCCCTCTCTCCCTATTTATTTCAGAACCCCCTTCCCCTCCCCATTTCTGAAGAAGGGTCTGGGCCCAAAACGTCAGCCTTCCTGCTCCTCTGATGCTGCTTGGCCTGCTGTGTTCATCCAGCTCTACACCTTGTTATCTCGGATTCTCCAGCATCTGCAGTTCCTACTATCTACCACACCAAAATTCTAGCTTTACCAACAGTTCTCCTTGCAATTAATTTAAAGTTAACTGTATTTTCAAAATGCTTAGAGCTCATCTTTGGGGTCCACAATGGCTCCCAGTTAAATTTACTTTGGTAGGGAGATCAATGTAAACAGTTTTTCAAAGAAACACTGTCTTAATTAGGTGATCACCATTTTGGGTGTTTAGTTTTCTCTCATCTCTGAATTGTGACCTTATAGAGGTCTCTAAAGTTATGAGAGGCATAGATAAGGTAGATAGCCAATAGCTTTTCCCCATGGTAGTGGAATTTAAAACTCGAGAGCATCGTTAAAGGTGAGAGGGGAGAGATACAAAAGGGTCCAGAGGGGTAATTTTTTTGCACAGGGTGGTGTATGTCTGGAACGGGCTGCCAGAGGTCGTGATGGAAGTGAATACAATTTTGTCATTTAAGAAATATTTGGACAGGTACATGAATGGTACTTGGAAAAAGGGATATGGAACTAGTACAAATTGTGAAAACTGGACGGCATGGAAAGATGGGCAAAGGGCCTGTTTCCATGCTGTAGCCCTCTATGACTCTATGAATTGTATATCTTTACTGTGGTGTAAGTGGCAAGCTATTACTAGAGTAAATCCACAAAATGAACTCGTGGCAAAATGGTCATGTTTTTGCCTCTGGACCAGAAGACCTAAGTTCAAGTCTCACCTACTGGAGAGGTGCGTCATAACATGTCTGAACAGATTTTAAAAATATCAAGACCTGAATGAATTGCCAGTCACGGTGGCAGGATTATGCAGTTTGTGCTGAGACAGCAGTCACAGAAGATAACGACTACTTCAATGCAAAGTGTAGAAACTTGTTTGTAGAGATTTAAGTATAGGAAAGTTGGCAGTTGGTGTGGAGATCAATAACATTGAAGGCATTTGGAGAGGAAATTGAAGTTGGAGTTTGATTTGCAAGATTAGAGTGGTAGAGAATGCATATTTAGAGGGAGGTTTGATGACAGTGGGGTGGGGGAAGACAATACCTGAGGAGATCTCACCGTTTTCAATACTAGCTAGCATGAGAACAAAGTAAATGTGCATATTGAAAAATATGGCTTGAATAGTAATGTAGGTGCTGAAATATTTGAGAAAAAATGTTATACAATCCTCATTATTTGACAATAATTTTTCGCATTGAACATCCAATAAACTATACTTGCCGTGTTCTGAAATATTGTTTGACTGGTTTATGTCTCAGATTTATTGTGTGCTAGTTTCCTGTTGTTTAATACTACAAATGAATTTCAAATTAATACATTTTTTATTGGAAACTTTTATGTTAGGATTCCAGTTCAGTTGTCGAATGGAGCCAATGTCCGAAAGAAAAATCTTCTAGGAGTACTATGCACCAAAACAGTTGTGAAGCTGAATGGGACATGGTTAATACAGTTACTTTCAAAAAGAAACCCTTTATAAATGGTGATGGTATGTAACATACCCTAAATGGAATGTTTACAATATATTCATTACTTTAAAGAACGCATGCTTTGAAACTGGTAACTTATCTTATGCATCTAGCAGCACCAAGTGCAATTCGAATCGGAAAGTTCTGAATTGTGGTTTACAATATTACTCCATAAATTTAACGCATGGCTGCTAGTACTTGATATTTTTAACAATATTAAAATGAAGATGAGTGTTCTTATTCTAATACATCAAACATAGACTAAATTATTTATTTTAATGTTATATCATAAACCACTGCATGAGCCAAATATTACAATTAAATCATTAATCACATTGAATGAAACTTAAAGTAGCATTCTGGTAATACAGTGTTCTAGTAATTGTGTCTCATAAATATTTAAGGTTTGTTTATGCATATTCTTTAGACAATAAGGTGTGATCTTTGCTTTTAGTGTTGAGTGGAGTCCAGGCCCTTTCACAATAGTGAAGACAAACTATTCTTTCCACTTTGGCACCAAGTTCAGTGGTGAATTTGGCAGGTGTGTGGGAAGAAACTAGGGAATGGTATTTGTAGGAGAGATTTGTCTTTCAAAACTGTAAGGCATGAAGAGAAAAAGTAGATGTTTGACTGTAGGTAATGACAGTAAAAATGTTGGCTTTAAGAGATTTTTAAAAATTATTTGAGACTTGTTCTGTGGCTTTACTGACCCTGATGGATCCAATCATAGTACATTTCAGTAACGTATTATAAAACATTTAAACCTAGTATAGCTGTGATGAAACTTCAAGTACAATGTTGGGAAATACTGGCATGAATAATAAGGAAACCCAGGCTTCTGTTCAGTTTTTGAAGCATTGCAATAAGGCTATTTAATAAAAGGTTAATTTCTCTGTGTCAGCAATGCTTGGTTTAGATTTACTTTTACAGCCAGTCATGAAATGTGTAGATGAAGTGCTCCAAGTCCCAGAAAAATTTTGAACTGATTGTTTAGAAACAAAAACGTACTGTATCTCTACTTTGACCTGGGTTTGAGTCAGCAGCAGTGTCGATGGTCATTGCTGATCAGGACGAAAACTGCCCACGAAGATCTGCAATCTCTTTGACGTGGATTTCACCTTCATAAATGTTAATTTGTTTCTGGCACTAATGATAGGAATGCTTGGTCTGCAGCACCAGTGATGTCATCAAGCAGACTAATCAACCAATCACATTAACAAGTTCTCAGAACAGCGTAAGGTAAAATGAATTATCCTTCATTTTATAGTCAATTTACAGGAAGCAAAATAAACATTGGGAAGTTTGCATGGAAAAAAAAACGAAATATCAGCAAATTAAAAAAAATTACATTGAAAAATCTGGATTTTTAAAAAAATCCTGATGGAGGATTTTGTTGTTACATAAAAGCAATTAATTTTTCTGGGTCGGGAAAGGTGTTTGTCAACGATTAAGACTTAGTAGCTGTTTACAAACCCAGTGATGCCTCATTCAGGAGGGCATAATTTTTTAGGGGTTTTTACATATAACATGGAAGTTCACATTAGTTGATGTGATGTCTAAAAATTGCAGCTGTAGTGGATAGCACAAAAGAAGTTATAGGCACCAATGTGTGAATTTGTACGTTTAAGGTGATTGATTAGATTTCAGAAGTTGCTTACAGTATCAAAGTTGAAATGGTGATGATCGCTGGCTGTTTTGCCATCCTTACAACAGTTTAAAAAAACTTGCAGTTCTGTTCAAGAATTACTTCCTCCTATAATTTTGGCGCAAAGAGATGCTTAGGGTTTGGGAATCTCATTGCTTTAGAATAATAAATAGAAAGCTGTCATTCGTAAGACAAGTAACTTTAGAGTACTCTGGAGTGAGGTTCTCAGTGATGATTTGTCTTTCATTGTTAGATTTATATATCAATGCATATTTGGGGAGATACTGGCAAAATGCAATGTTACTGGACTGGTAATCAAGAAGTCCAGGCTCATGTTATGGGGGCATGGATTCAAATTCCACCATGATAGATGGTGAAAGTTAAATTCAGTATAAAACCTGGAATAAAAACTAGTCCAATAACAATTACATAGCCATTGTCATTTTGTCAGAAAAACCCACCTGGTTCTCTCATGTTATTTAGGGAGCTAATCTTGCATCCTTGCCTGGTCTGGCAACACATGACTCCAGACCCACAGCAGTGTGGTTAACTCAACTGCCTTCTAGGCAATTAGGATGGGCAGTTAATGCTGGCCTAACCAGAAACAGTAAGATCCCATGATAAATAATAAAACAAAAATATAATGTTAACTGGACTTATTATTTCTAGTTATTTATTCAATGTTGTCCATTGCATTTGATCTTTCTGTAATTGTTTTTCAAGTGGTAATGAAATTTTTTTTTCCCAGGTTTAAGTAGACCTTGTTGTGATACTTGGATGCATTTTAAGTTAAGAACTAAATTTCTTTTCTATTTGATTTCTACACTTTTAGATGACTCAACATATAACATGAATAAGAGAAGTAAATGGGCATTCTCCTTCAATCTGACTGACCTGAAATCCATTAAAAAAAATTTAGAAGGCATGGGCTGGTCATACTTGGTGTTTTGTCTTTGGGATGATACCTTTCTGCCAGCTCTTCATTTCCATCACGGAGGCAGCACGATTCTGCTGCAGTGCCTTAAGAGATATGTTCTTCTTAGTGAGTGAGTAGTTGAAGAATGCTTGCATAAAATTCATTTTTGTTACTGTAATTTCTGTGGCAGGGCTTTAAATTCATCTTTCTGATGTATGTTCATTTCTTTCCCCATGTTACAAACTATTTCATACTCTTTCCTGCTGAAGTAACACACAGTATCTTTCTCAAGAGAATGTTTGGAATTCTGTGACTTTTCTGATTTGTGTTATGCTGATTATAGGCCCACGTGATATGTTGACTATTTCCATAGCAAGCCCCATCTCCTGTTCTCATCAACTATTCCAGTCCTTACCCATAGGTCAGGTAGACCTGATTTGTGAGAGTGACATTCATACATTGCTGGGACTGCACCTGAAATAAGGGAAAGCAATGATCACACCAGCCAAGACAAATTTGGAATAGACAGCTACCTGAGTGTGGTATCATTTAAATTTGTGAATAAAATCCAGATTGAAATCTTTAGTTGATATACAAAACAAATTTGATCTTTCTCCCACTCTATGCAGGTGATGCTTTTATAGTTTTTAGGCAATAAATAACAATTCTGCGTTTCTGCAGAAGGATATGTTCTGATTTCAAGATACTACTTTGTGGCTGAAACTGACCATAACTGAAGAAGGTGTGAGAATTCTTAGTTTGTATGTTAAATCTGTTATTAGCCCCAATGCACTCTTGCCAGGAGATAATTGTAATTGATTTTTAAAGTATTTATTATAATGCAATTACAAAGAAAAACAAACTTAAAATTCTGGCATTCAAACAAATTAGTAAATACTGGAAAAAATGGTCAACTGGTAGTTGTGCATGTACTGCCACTAGATGGCATTTGGTTATAATTTAATCTTTGATAGCTAACCAAAAACTGATCTCACTGTGTGTTTAATATGACAAATTAGATTAGAAGCTCAGTCGTCATCTTTCTCCAGCAATGAGCGCAAAGCTAATAACCTTTTGTAGTATAATACTTTGTTTTAAAAGTCTACTGACGCTACTGTTGTAGGCCGGATATCAAACAAAGATGAGACAGAATACAGGACAGTGTGTGCTTGGTGGTGTGGTGTAAAGATAACAATCTCTTCCTCGATGTCAGCAAAGCTGAAGAGCTGATCATCGATTTCAAGAAGCAAGGAGGAGGAGGGCAAGCCCCTATCCAAATCAAGGGGCTGATGTGGAGATGGTCGAGAGCATCAAGTTCCTAGGAGTGACGATCACCAGCAATCTGTTCGAGACCACCCACGTTGATGCGACAGTCCAGAAGCACAACAAAGGAGGCGGCTAAGGAAATTCGGCATGCCCATAAAGACTCTCTCCAACTTTTACAGATATACCATAGAAAGCATTCTGTCTGGATGCATCACGGCTTGGTACAACAACTGCTCTGTCTAGGACCGTTTTTAAAAAAAAAAACTACAACAGCCCAATTCATCACGCAAGCCAACCTTACAACAGTTCATTCCATCCACACTTTTCGCTGCCTTAGAAAAGCAGCCAACAACATCAAAGACCCATCCCACCTTGGTCAGAATGACTTCCAACCTCATCTGTCAGGCAGAAGTTACAAAAGCTTAAACACATACCAACAGGTTCAAGAGCAGCTTCTTCCTTGCTGTTTTTAAACTTCTGAATGGATCTCTCAAATTTCAAATCTAATGTTGAACTTGCTTTTTGTACACCTTCTTTACAACCATAACTTTGTATTCCTCGCCCTGTTCAATCACCCTATGATCTTTGTATGTTATGATCTGCCTGTACTGCACGTAAAATAAAACTTTTCACTGTACCTAAGTACATGTGACAATAATAAATCAAGTGAAATCAAATCAAGTAACTGGTCTTTGTTTGGCACACAATTTGGGTCCTTTTTTATCTTTCATATTTCTAAGTTGTTTGTCCAGTAATCAGACTTTCTTTATGAAATGCCTCAGCATGTCGCAAAACCATTCACATGAATTAATAAACTATATGAACTTCACTCTCATATCAGAATCTTTCTAACTTGCTGTTGTTATCACAAATTGATTGTGCAATCACGATAAAAGCAAATTTTAAAAATATTGTTGTGCTGGTACTACATTAATTATGGTGTTTGGTATGTTGTATTGTAGATTACATTAAAATCATAGATGAATGCTAAAAGTATTTTGGATGCGTTAAATTATATGTTTAGGCAGTCAAGCGAATAAATTTCTTTTCATAGTTTTATGTAAAGTGAATAAATTATTGGAGTAGGATGGAATGAATCTGAAAGGACAGGTTCAAATGAATAGAATCCCATGTGTCTATAATATCGATTTAAATGTTATGAGTGCACTGTTTTATTATTTCCTGCATGTTACTGGGGTAATTAGAAAATGGTGCATAGGCACAAATGTGGGCTATTTAGTCCACCGAGCATGTTCCACCTTTCAAATTGATCACGACTGATCCCTGATCTAGTTTGTAAGGCAGCATCATCTGTTGTTTGAGATTCAGAGGATGGATTAAACCATAAGACCGATATTAGTTATGTTATTTTTTAAATTACATTGTGACTGCCATTGATTGACATTTTAATCCATATGCATGCAAGGTTAACAAATTCGACGCATAAGCAAATCACTAATCGAACAACTGTATGCTATGGAGGTGGCTGACAAATTTTGTTTTCCATTGAAATATTTGTTAGATAGGTCAAATAGCCTCTATCTCTATTTGAATGAAATGTTCACCATTTTCATGTGAGAAATCACAGCTCTTCATTTACTTCAGACCAATTGCACAAACTAAAAAAGTTGTAAAATAGTTAACAAAATGCTTCGTCTTTCTCCATCTGGCTGGCGAATGTATCTGGGCAAGGGGGGGAGGAGGAGGAGGAGGAGGAGGAGGAGATGGCCTAGGGAATCCAGTGCACTGTAAAATTCAGTTCTGTGATTCTATTAAGACAGCTCACATTTTAGGAATTTTTCTCATTTGGTAACTTATTTGTGGCCTAGAAGGTCTCCTGTTTGGTGAGAGAATTATTTCAGTTATCTTGGTTGAGTTTCCATGGTGTATGATTCTATAACTCTGTTGGTTTGTACTGAAGATCTTCATACTGGAAAGCCAGAAACATCATTGAACATGGTTAGATGCCTGTATTTATTACATTGCTTTTAAGTGCTCTAATATGGAGTTTGCACATAATGGTTGCTGAGAAGTTCTTGTCTCAGCTGTTATGGTCCCAGCTGATGGTAATAATGATCAAGTTAGATTCCAGAGTGAGGCCTGGCTTGATATACCATAAGTTTTATTTTTGCAGTTTGGTTATTATGGTGGTCAGTCACTGAACTATTCACAAGAGGCTGTCAATGTCCTTTTAATCAAATAGCATCAAAGTACCAAAACAAACACACAGAATGCTGGAGAAATTCAGCAAGTCAGGCAGCATCTGGAGAGAGAAACAGAATTAACTTTCAAGTCCAATATGTTCCTCCTTCAGAATTGAAATTCTGTTAAAAATGAAATTTTAAAATAATTACAAAATCTCAGGGATCTAACAGGTCTTTTTTAAAGTCTAGCACAAATGATCTGTGACAGAAGTGGCATTGTGCCTCCAACGTTATTGCTGTGTTTGTGTCAGTATAGTTCTGGAGTCGGTTTATGATCAGATACTGTCATATGACAAATAGTTTTTCTATCATATGAAGAGGAATCTGCACATATATAGTCAAATACCTGCACATTTTCATCATCGTGGGAGTGCATGCTTGCAACTTGGGCTGCACACTAATTCTGTTGTCACCACTCTTGAACTGTTATTGTAGAATAACTAGATAAAATTTCTTGGGTGCTTTGAAATCTTGCTATTGGTTTTAAAATTTACCTTGAGTATCTCTAATGAGGGATTGTAAGTGTTAATTTTTAAGTGTTTGAGTCCCCAGGCTACAATTAATAATTGTAATTAAATATCTGGTTTTAGAACAAAATTCAATTACAAAATGTTAATTCAAACAAAATAAAACACACCCATGCACCAGAAGAATGATTCTATTTAACATCATCAATTAAAAGACAAAATGTGTGGCTACTAATATTTCATATGAAGTATTTTATTTTCTTATATTGTTCTAGTTTTAATAAATGCTTCCAGATGCTGCTTATGCATGTATTTCATTGTTTATCTCCCCAACATCAGCAATAGTTAATACATTTTGTTCTGAAAGGCAGTTTTTCATATAATGTAATCACAAAATGTGATCAGCAATCTAACTAGCTGTCAGAGAGATGTCTTCCAACTCAAAATTGATATTGCACATGTTTGCTTTACTATTGATAATGTCAGGGTTGGCAGAAAGGGAGATGAGAGTCATGTCTCTCTGGCTGTGCTTGCTGGGCGATCCTCTTTCTTTTTACTGTTGTCTGCACTGTATATTCTTGTATGTGGCATAATACATCAGTGTTTTTGCCCCTTTAAATTTATTCCTAGCATAAAGTCGCTATGTGAAAGCAGGCCATTTGGCCCGTCAAGTTCACACCGACTCTGCAAAGAGCATCCACCCCCCTACCCTGTCACTGTATTTCGCATGGCTAATCCACCTAGCCTGCATGTCCCTGGACACTATGGGTAATTTAGCATGGCCAATCCACCTAACTTGCACATCTTTGGACTGTGGGAGAAAACCGGAGCACCCGGAGGAAACCCACACGGATGCAGGGAGAATGTGCAAACTCCACACGGTTGCCCGATGATGGAATTGACCCCTAAAAGATGGGAAATTATGATACTTGGGGTAAAATTTAAATTGTAAATGAATATTTTAGGTGGTAATTACATTGAATTATCTGTCAGTTATTAAAATATTTGCCATTAATAATTAACTTAAACTTGCAAATATACTAAATGATCTCCCATTTCCCAGTAAGCATGTAAATATTTGTGCATTTTATATGTTCTCCTTGTCATTGTTGCTTGTGGCTCACTGATCCTTTGTGTTTTATGTGCTTACTTGCACTTCCTGTAATTGAGATTATTTTTATTTACAGATCTCTTTCCTTTGTACAGTATTTTCTGTGCCACTCTGAAAGCCTTTTGGTTTGATCATTGTTGATCTGTGTATGTCTTTCCTCTATCTGTCTGTCTATCAATCAGCTAAGTAGTTTATCATTCTTGTTGCACTATTTTAATTGTTTGACTTTTTAAATATATTGTGCTGTTTATTTTCTTTCAGTCTATAGCTAATTTGCACACAGTCATCCTTTATATTTCATTTCTTAGTTTCCAGTCAGATTTGATTCAACAAGCTCTGCAGGTCTTGATTTCATATTGCGGTGTCACTAAAGATGGGGAGAAAATTCATCAATAGAAACAGAAAATGCAGGACTTGTTCACTAGATTAGAGAGAATCTGCTAAGAGTAAAGTATTTGATGTTTGGTCATGTTGGGAGCAGAAGGGAGCCTGATCTAGGAACATATTGTGTGGCACTGCTTTGATGCCAGTGATCTAGGAATAAAAATTAAAATAAATAAAACAAGAAATTGAGGTTTTATTAAAATATTAATTACTGTGTTTAACAAACTAAGAATTTTTTGTAAAATTTAGAATGTAAATCAAGCTTAGTAGATTTTCTCATGCCATAATTTGCTCTTGAGGGTGATCTCAAAGTTTGCACATAAACATTAATGACTTTTATTGAATTATTTTGATGTAGGAAATTGTATATTTGACTCTTTTCGTCCCAATGTTAAGGGAGTCTTTTGTTTGAATATTGTAATTATCTGAGGTTAGCGTTATAGACCACTGTGACATACTTGTGTAGATAATCTGGATCTGTATTAATTGTAATATATTTAAAAATTTTGCATCTCTCTGTGCTTTGTTACTTCTTTATCATGCTTTTCCATGCTTTCATATGTTCATATCTGTGATGGAAACCTGCCATGTAAACTGTCATGCAGTTTTACACCCCATTTGTGACGACACAGTAGTGTCTGTTTATGCTACATAGAAACTCCAACTTCAGTTGCTACTTTACTAAAGATACACATTTACTGCTCACATACAAATAATATATCAAGATATACAAAGAAAAGTTGGAAAATGTGATCTTAGGTTGAGGATTGAATTGGCTACGGATTCTCTGTTCCACCTAATGCACATCCTCTAATCTTGACGCTGATGTGACCAGGGAATTGACGCATTTCCTTATTTTTGAAAAATAGTGTTTTAGTTTAAAGTATCAATTAATTAATCCTTATGGCTTTTCATTCACTCCTTCCATGCCCCATTAAAAAAAAGTACGTTGAGGTTTATGTACCTGCTGTAGAAGGGAGAAGAGAAATGTTAATATCTTGCGAGTATGGAACTGGCCAAAGCTTCTAATTACAGGTAGTCCTCATTTACAAGACCTCCTTTAATGTCATTTTATTTGAATGTTGTTTTGTTTTTAGGGCCTGTTCCTTCAAAATATGTTGGGATTTCCAGTTTTATGTAATTTTGCTTCAAGTCATTGCAGATCAGAGTCATTTTGACATTGGGACCTATTGGCACCATGTTGAGGAACTCAGGAACTTGAATCAAGTGTTTTCTTGCAAGGGTAACAGAGTCAGTAATGTGAAAGCATGATAGAATCGGGATGGAAAGGAAAAAGAGAAAGCTAGGGCTGAGTTTTAGCACTGATTTGGCTGAGCGATTGAAGCCATTAATGTTTTTGCTACTTGACGCATATAGATACTTTTAAAAAGTATTTAGTAGTCAGCCTGAAACACTCAGCAAATGGTGTTTGTGAGCCTGCTGCTGCAAAGTGAGCAAGGGAAGCTATCAGCCTAGCAGTGAAATTGGATGTATTAAAGTATCCTGACTCTAGAGAATGAGCAGTTAATATTGAAAGGCTGCTTGGACTGCCTTCTAAGACACGAGAGAATTGGTAGTGTTGAAAAAATCAAACAACCTTTGCATAAATTTTTCAAATAAATTTGAATGTCATATTTCTATCATATTCAATGATATACTTAATCTTGTGAGCTTTTACTCAATAGCAGCAGAGCAATTAAGTGCTAATGATTAACAAAGCATCTTCATTTTTTCAGTTTGCATGATCAGCTCTTTGACTCCAGCTGTCTGTTATAAAATGATTTTTTTTTTTGGAATTGCTGCCCCTTATAGATATGCACTGCAGCAGGTTGTCTCTCAAATGAAATACCTTGTCAGATTTTTCATTTCAAGCTAGCGCATCCTGTTAGCCAGCGGTTTTCAGTTATTAAAGTTCTTATCGCTATTTCAATAATACAAATGTGTGGATAGGTCTAACTGAGATGAGATAACCTAATGTATAACTGTTCAGCTACAGTAAAACAAAAACAAATAAATTGAAGCAGTGTGTGGATTAGCATAGTTAGCCACAAATAAAACACAAATTGATCAGTTTGGAATCTTCTTGTTAAACATAATGATGAAGCTGCAAAAGTGAGCTTTTTACAAGACTTGTGCAGTATTCAAATAAGGTTATAGCTAAAGCTTGGCAGCATCTGTGGCAAGGTGAGAAACAGAGTTAATGTTTCAGGTCAACGATCTTTTCATCAGAAGTGATGAAAACTGATGCAAGTCAGTGACCTAAAATGGTGACACTGTCGTTCTTATTTCAGTTTTCCAGCATCCAGATTATTTGTTTTTTTTGTATAACTAAAACCTATTAATAATTGAGCTCTCTAGTCATACAGGTTTTTGCTCAAAGGAATAATTTAGGTGAATGCTAAAATAGCTTTAAGCTTTCTGTATTGTTTTGTAAAATGTATCCTAGATCATGCACGAGATAGACTCTGTCCTTTTACCCCTCTCACTTCAATTTCACTCTAAACTGATAGCATAAAAGTCTCTTCTGTTCACATGCTCTGCAAAAATTATTCTGGCCAGTCTAATCCAGTGAGCATTTGCGTAGAACTGTTGCTAATTCATAATGTCAGTCAGGATGATTTAGATTAGTATTTTAGAAGTAGAAGAAAACGCCACACTGATTCAATGGAAAGGGGTTTTCTGATGTTTGGGAAGATCTTTGTGTCCAGATGCGCTGAATCTGATGTGGGGTGTACCTAATGCTGATACTGAAAAAGTATAATATTCACCGGCACTAACATCAGTACTGATCATTTGAACATCAATAATTATTATAGTCTTTGAAATTAAAAATAAATATTGATAGAGAATTTTTTTGTCTACTTGATTTAGAAACACGGGTCTTTGAACCAAATGAACACAGCCATCCAAACTAAAAGAATTCTGAAATATATGATCACCCTTTTTGATGTTTTCCTATAGATCATCTCATGATGACCGAGTACTCCTTGTTGCATACAACAGTAAGGCACTTTCTCAGTCTTTTGAGAACTTGTTCGAAGAGCACGCAGTTGGCTTAGTGCAAGTAAGTGCATGATATATTTAAGATGTATAATTTTAAATTGTCATTTTCTTTTTGTTTTGAATGTCTTGGACATAAGACTATGCTGATCGTTCCTACTATTTAATGGGACCATAGTATACTCTAGAGGTCTAACTTGGATAGGACCCACTTAGTCAGAATTGATATCATGTTTCGGTGTGTAGCTGTCCAATATTTACAAAATGAGTCGAAGTAGTACTTAGATTGTATCAGAAATTAATTATTAGATTTGTATACATAAATAACAAATGTACAGAAGTAACAGTTAAAACCAATTTTGATCACTTCACTGAATCTCACTTTCCCCATTATTAAGGAGAGAAAACATTACTTGAACAACCTCCAATACTAAAAGCTGACCTTGTGGAGTCTCAGTTCCAACACTGGTCTCAAGTCAAAAAAACCTCATTGATTCCTGAACACCCATGTTTTCTCCATATGAACAGTATAACCGGATTGCAATGAATGAAATCATTTGTTGATTATCTGTGATGAAATAATGGATTCCTCTTAAGCCACAGTTGTAAAAGCAATTGCTTAGGGTAATTTGGAATGTGCAAATGTGCAACCATACATATTTAAATGAATTCTGAATAGTAATCCAGACTAGTAATGTCCACTTTCTCTATAATTATCAAATTCAAACCCAAAAATATCACTAGGCCTCCCAAAGTTTTGTATAGCTAGCAGTATATTGATTTTAAAATTTTTATCTTTATTTTTATATCTTTCCATGGTCACATCTCTTTTTCTCTCTCTCTGTAATCTCCTCCAGTCATACAAGCTTCCAAGATAATAGCAGTCATCTAATTCTCACTGTGAATATCTGCTGCACCACTGTTAGTCATGCCTTTAGGTCTTTAGACACTAAGTTGTGAAATTCCCTCCCTACATCTCTCTGCCTGGCTTTGATCACTTCAGGCATGCTTAAAACCTAATTGACTTTTCCTTCAGTCATCTGACCTAATAACTTTTTATGTGGCTTGGCATCATATTTTGTTTCATAATCCTTCTGAGATGCATTATTATTTCAAAGACCAAATACATATATAAGTTGTTATTGTAACCAGCATAGACCTGAAGATTGGAATCACCTCTGTGTGACCGAAGTAACTGTGACTTATGGTTGAAAACAGTTTGTCTTATTCTGTCTCTGTGAATTAGAAACCTAGATATCACATAAAAAGCTTAATATTGTGGATATTGGAGAGCTAAAATAAAAACAAAGTGCTGGATAAATCTAGCAGTTCTGGTAATATTTGCAAAGAGAGAAACTGAGTCAGTGTTGAGTTCAGTATGACCTTTAATTTTTTGGACTTCTGAATGTTCTTCAATTTTCTTGGTCTCAAATTGTGCTGTAGTATTTGCTACTATTACTTAATATTTTGCTCAGATTATTTCTTTAGCCAGTACTGAAAAACATATGTGACATGCTACTTTAGAACATGACCAAGTGAGAATCTTTAAGCCTAAAAGGAGGACCCAAGCATTAAGACAATATTTTTCAAAATCTGATCTCCTGTATGCACGTAGACATTGCACCACATTAGCCCTTCTTCCAGATATGTCATGAAATTGATTACCGTAGATTCTTTTAATTATCCTCTATCCTTTTATGAGGCATGGCCATATTCCATAAAAGTGTGTGATGAAAATTACTGTATAGAAGTAAGGAAAAATTAATGGCAGGACTGTAGGAAA